ATAAGATATTCCTTTGAATAGATCAGTCAGGAATCACAGTACAGAGTGATAGAAATGTAGCCGTGTTAGTCTGGGGTAGCTGAAGCAAAATGCAGGACAATGTAGCACTTTAAAGACTAACAAGATGGTTTATTAGATGATGAGCTTTCGTGGGCCAGACCCACTTCCTCAGATCAAATAGTGGAAGAAAATAGTCACAACCATATATACCAAAGGATACAATTAAAAAAATGAACAAATATGAAAAGGACAAAGTGATTAGCTCTTGATCTACCCCCTCCCATTTCCAAAGTAAACACTGATGCAAATCCTCATTGAATCCTGCACATGGGTTTAAGCTATTTCCTAGGGAAGTGAGGAGAATTCTAGAGTTATAGTTCTCTACTCTCATGCCTCTGAAGAGAGTCACTGGATCTCAATTTTTACTTTCAACAGAAGCAAAGGGCTGATCTAGCCCTATGTCTCCATGGGCCACAATGCCAAATCAAGCTGCAAAATTACAAATTAGCTATATTTAGAGCCTCTTGGTTATGTGTGAGGACTTTATTTCTATTTCACAGACTTTAAAGAAAACAAAGGTAAAAACTTGAGGAGGCTAAAACTGCTGCCTGCCTGGCCTGGAGCCAGGCATTTAATTGTCTTCCCATCCTCTGCCTTGTAATAGCAAAACAGAGCTTTTTGTTTTGGATTCAATAGTGCTGCTTATATATTGTCTTTGCTGTTAACATACTTTTATGCCAGTAGTGTTCTCTTGTCTCAAAACCAAGTAATCCTTAGAAGTAAAGAAAAATGAAAGCAGCTATTTTTGTTAATACTAGTCAGACTTTGCATATAAAAATATATCACAGAACAATTTTTCGCATTAATAATTTCTAAAGCTGGTATTTTGAGACTTCTTTCAATTCAAATGAAAACTAAGGTTCTGAGTGCCTAGATGTGCCCCCTAATTTGCAAGTGTAGCCTGTACACAGATCAATAGCAGAGTTTGAACCTTTCATTATCCATGTATAAACCAATATTTTTGTCCAGTTTGATATTTTAAAATGTATTAGATGGTGGAGATCTGTAGCAGCAAATCAGAGGTCTCTGCCACTTGTGCACAGAGATAACTCCATTAGCTGGCAGCAGTAGTAGACTTTTAGCTTCTCTGTGGACTAGCCACTAGAGGGAGAATTTGCACAAGCCCAAATTCCATTAAATTAAATGGCAGATGCACAGATGTATAGAAGGATAGACTTGATCCCAGAGTTTATTTATAGCAAAAATGAGACCATTTGGGATAATTGGGGTAATTTGTCAGTTGAAATCTGGAGCAGGAATACCAACTGCTGAAAATATTGCTGATTTTTATGGACAACAGAAAAAAATTTCAGTCATACAAACTTTTTTAAGGACACATTCTTACATACTCTAAAGATGGTTCGAAGGGACAAAAGTGTACAATATACAATGTTTTTTATTCACATATCACAACAACATGTTGTTATATTAGTTTAACCTACTTACTATCAACATCAGCATTCTCCAAGTTCTCCAGTTTGTGATCATATTTTGCAAAAGCCAATATCAACCATTGCTTTAGTAATTTTCTAGGTCCATTTTTGATGGTCAATAATCTTTCCAGTATAGGAATGCACAGATTATTTCTTTTATTTAAGTGACTATCATGCTGTGATTTACTGGCGGGGAGTCTATGGAAGGCTGCTCTTTGGAATAGGGATGGCGCCTGCAGTAGTGGTGGGAATGAGGGAAATGTTGCTCCAGGCCCTGCACTTCCCTCGGGATGGCCCTGGCTCCAAATTCAAACCTTAAATGTTAGCCATTAAAAAAGGACAAGCAACTTTCCCTTTCTTTTTCATCTTTGTGCATCACTGTACTTCTGGTGTCCAGGTGGGAGCAGGAGTGGCAAAACACTGCAAGAAAGATTACAGGAACCCCCCCGACTTCTGACTGCCCGAGTTGCAAACCCCCTCACTTATAACCATTTTTGTAAGTGTGGAAGGGGCCGAAAACCCCCGACTTACATTCTTGGCCCACATTTATGACAGCGCATGGCGCCTATCATAACCGAGGGTTCGAATTACGTTGCCCCTGACTTGCAATGCTTCCCCGGGAACCAACTGTGTCACAAGTCAGGGGCCGCCTGTTTCATGATATGTCATCCTGACTTGAAGCAGTAAATACTAGAAAGCTTGCAGAAAATCAGTGGCATTTCTAACTTAATTTTGCAGCTTCCAGATGTGAGGGAATTGAAGCTGCTCTGTGATAATTTATGAATACTGCTACGTTATGAAAACTGGGGCATTTAGTGTATACAAATGTTATTTAATTTAATAGAGGTCCATAAGGAAAAACAAGTAGGAATGGGCATGAAATGGCTCAAGATAACCTACCCCTCAGTAAACACTTGAAGTTTCTTATGGGACAGTGGTTGAACTGGAAAGATTTCTCATCCCATGCAGTATGTTTTCTCAGAAGGGTTGAAGTCTCAAAAAACAGAACAAAAGAGCTCACTCAAGAGAGGGGTCTAGAGGTGAACCATATCAAAGGCAGGAACCTAGCATTGTCTGAAGAAGTTAGCCCTGCCGATCTTATTGTCCAGGGGGGAAGGTAAGACATTCAGTAGGATAAGTGTGATGGTCTGAAATCCTTTTATCTTTGATCCTACTATTAAAACCAACAATGCATTGTTGATACCAAGCCAAATACAGGCAGTCCCCGAGTTACGCGGATCCGACTTACGTCGGATCCGCAGTTACGAACGGGGCATTCCTCTCCCTGGTCTCCAGCAGACCAGGGAGAGGAAGCAAAGCGGCGGAACACGTGGGCAGCGGACAGGGCTGTCCGCTGCCCACGCGCTCCGAGGCTTGGCTCTGCTTTGCCCCCCCCTCCCCGTCCCCCTGGTCTGCAGACAAACCGGGCAGCACCCCAGCTGTTCTGCCCCAGGCATCCTGATTCAGCCACTGCTGGTCAGATTCAGCAGCGGCTGGAT